TGCAACTTATTGAAGATTTCATGCCGAATGTTAACCTCTCTGTTGATTTCATTGCCCAAGTAAGTAGCTTCAAACTCTCTAGTTAAAGGGGTCCCATCTTGGAAGTGGATATTACCATCATTGTTCATAGGAATAGCGATGCACTTGGCTCTGTTCAAAGAGAGGCCATACTGTTGTGACACTCGTTCGGTGAGACTCAGAAGTTCATTCAGCCCTCGGTTGCTCTGGGAAAACAAAATGGTATCATTCGCATAGTAAACCATGTCAAAACCAAGCCCAGGCACTCTGTGATTAGAGACGTGTCCGGTGATTGAAGATTGTATGTCTTCATCAATACAGGTCATCACGAGGGTGAATAAAAAAGGGCTCAATGGGCATCCCTGTCTTATACCACTTCTCTGCTGTTTAATCTCGGAAGTGCCGAAATCATCCTTGACATAGAAGGTTGGCTTTCGATAACAGTTCTGAATAACATCTATAAAATGTTGGCTAAAGCCTAATCTATGCAAAGCAAGTAGTAATTTATCATGCTGTATCTTATCGAAAGCCTTTTCCCAATCCAACAATGCAATGCTCAGTTTAGCAGCTTTCGACTCTGCATAATCTTGAATACGTCTGATAATGTAAATCGCGTGGGAAGTAGACCTGTTGGGTCGAAAGCCGTACTGAGTTTTCGTTAAGTGTTGTTCAATTGGTTCTTGCATTCTGGACCTGATCAAAATCATGTACAGCTTATACATGCTATTAAGTAAAGAAATGGGTCGATAATTAGAGGCTACATCGGTATCACCCTTCTTGAAAATGGGAGCGACTCGTGCTAGGAATAAGTCTTCCGGGGCCGATTTCTGTGTCCACCATGAATTGATCAAGAGTAATACATACATCTTGTTTTCTGCATCGAGCCACTTCCATAGCTCTGCAATGATTCCGTCAGGTCCGGGTTGCTTGTCACATTTCGAAAAGACCATAAGAAACACAATATTTGCTATGGGGAGCTCTGCTCAGAATATTTCAGGCTTGCAGGTTCCTACAGTGGGGTTTTGCTAGCACACCCTAGCAAGGATTTGGCACCTCAAACGCTCAGGACGAACATTCCGCGCCATAATGGCCATCTTGGGGCATAGCTTTACTTTTTGTGGGCCTTAAATTACATTTCATGATATGGAACCTCATAACAGAAGCCATCGATCCCAGAGCCCCAAGCCCGCAAGGCTCTATGAGCACCCGTAGAGGAGGACTGTTGTTCGTTGGCCAACGTAGTCCTCAGGCGAACCTCCGGTAACCTGAAGATAGAGTTCAGGGATCACTAGGAAACCCTACTCGGGGCGGCGTTGCAAGTAGGATGAGGACAACCCAAATAAAAACCAAGGCGCTTGCATCCCCACCTTTACCCCCACATAATTTTCAGAGGCCTTAGCCCCCTGACATTCACCAAATAATCCATAATCTATCCCCCAACGAACTGTACTTCTAATTGTCACTGAGCCTCCTATTTGCAAGGCAAGCCCCATAACGCTGAAGCCCTGCAACGAAAAGCTTTCTGGATCCAAAACTGATTCCTTCAGCCCAAAAGCCAAACCAGAACCCCGGAACCCTAGAACCCTGAATGCCCAAAAGCCCTACTAAATCCTTCCATCCCCTACACCCACACCAGGACCACCCTGAACTGGGTTGCTCTTAAGGAACTTAAACTACATGATCATAGTATAGGTGTATGGTAAATACGAAGGTTTTCTTCTTGCAGTGCCCCAAAACCCCTAAACCCGAAACCTCTAAACCCTAAACCCCTAACCCCTTCCCCTCAACCCTTATAACCCCTAAGCTCCAAAAAAAACACTTAATTTAAGTTCCAAAACCTACCAACTTAATTTCAGTTCCAAAAACCACCAACTTAATTTCAGTTCCAAAAGCCACCAACTTAATTTAAGTTCCAAAAAGCACCAACTTAATATAAGTTCCCAAAGCCCAACTTGATTCAAGTTCCTTAGAGGCAACCCAGCGAAAGAAAGGCTAAGTCCCCCTGCGGGTCCCCGAGGAGGCACCGGCTGCCTTGGACAACTTCAGGCCGCGAGGTTATAGTCTACACTCCTTTAACGGAGTTATATGGGGTTTAGGGGTTTAGGGTTTAAGGGTTTAGGTTTTAGATTTGAAGGTTTAGGGTTTAGGGGTCTTAGGGGTTAAGGTTTAGGAGTTCAGGGCTTTAGGGGTTTTAGGGTGTTGATATTTATGGGTCTAGGGTGTTTCCAGTTTAGGGCTTGCGGATTAAGTTGGGCTACATGTGGGTTTAATGAGAATACAAGCAAAGATACATGAGAGTGAAATTGGGATATAGGTAGGGAGTGGAAGAGATGAAGCAAATCATCTAAGTCTCATGCTTTGAGGATATAGGGCAATGGAAAATTCCAACTAAAATGTTGCTTAGGATTTCGTGTTTTCTTGCTTCAGCTCGTAGATACTCGAAAACAGAACACGAAATGGAACCTGCTGTTTTGCTGGTGCTCGAAGGGTAAAGGCAGTTGTGGGCATGACTTGGTTTGGGGTTCCATTCTCCTTGAGGATTGCCTTGCGGGTTTCAATATTGGTACACTTATCGATGAGTGGTTTTCCAAGGTTGGCTTCAGGTTTCGGATTTGGGGTTTAGACTTCCCACTTCCCAGTGCTCCTTCATTCTACGGCAAGGGTTTTGGCTTTGGAGTTTAGGGTTCCAGGACTATCACCACCATTGTAGACACATGGTGGTATTCTTGTTCGGCTTTTCTGGGCTCATTGAAGGGGGTTTGGGAAGGCTTTCAAGCAACGGGTGCTTGGGGGCCCTTGGGGATATACGCGAATACAGAGATTGAAAGGGCATCGAAGGCTGTGTTAGGTTAAGTGTCGGTCTTTTAAGGGCATGGGCATCACTTAAATTTCAACGGAAAGCTCAAAACAGCGCAATGCCAGCTATCTCAACACGAAGTACCCAATATGGGTCAGCCTGAGCGCGGCAATTAGTAATCTGTATCACAAACTATGAGACGCCAACTTTTTCAACTACGGGCAGCATGATGAGAAGTTTCAGCCACTGGTGGAACCTTCACAAATTGGAAATCGCGCGCTGCTCCTCCCAGCGGACTGAGGCTATTGCTCTGACATTTCCGAATCATGTCGAAGCGTGTCAAGCTAAGATGGCGGTAACGGCCATGCAGCCAGGACGCGCGGGACAGATGCGGTTCCTTTGTCCGAGATTCCAGATGTTGGGTGTCTGTCGGCCGCTGTGTCCACATCGCATGGCCTACGACATATCGAAGAACTTGCCTGCAGCTGGCTACTCATGCATGACAGAAAGGGACCATGCTCGCCCTTATAGAACCTCCTGGCCTGATGAGTGTGATCAACTTGC